TCTTCCTTTCATTTCTACCACTGGATTGCATTCTTTTACAGACTGCATGGAAACGTGTTCAAATTTCTCTTCATTTTTTCACCCAACCTAGTATGTTAAAGTGCATTTTTGCAAGCAAGCTCCCCAAATGTGTATTTTGTACATTTTTTTCATTAACATATACATTTTGTACAGAATTTCCTTTAATACAGGTATTTTTATACACATCTTGTGCTTGGAGAGCTACATTGCAAAATCCAAAAAATATAAATATCAAAGAATAATTGAGTTACAGTTCACATACTGGGTCAGGTAGGTTTGCATCAAAATGTAAATTGAATTAATTTATCCCTCAGCCCTGCTCAGAGCAAACTCACACAGACATTTGCAGCACAACTCAAGCGGATCTTTTTCTTCCACACTTTGTAAACAACTCAATACATCCAAGGCAACTAGAGATGCAAATGATCTACCTGGAGTGTTATTATCTGTACTGGTTCTTTTACAGATTCAAATCACCTATCAGTCAGTCATGCTGCCATCAAGGAATGAATGTCCTACATTCAGCAATCGTCATAGAATCATAGAAGAATAGAGCTGCAAGGGGCCATGAAGGCCATTGGGTCCAATCCCCTGCTGTTGCAAGAGACCAACTTACACCATCCCGCTCAGATGGCTGTCTCACTTTGCTCCTGACTAAAGGCAAGAGTCTGCAAGAGATGCCCCTTCATGGCCCATTAAATGGCCAATGCAGAAAAGGTTTTCTAAAAGAAATATCTATTGCACATACACCGCCCAACTAAATGTCAGAGAGGGCATTTGTGCCCATCAAGTCATGTTACGATGTCTTTCCACACAGTTGTACCTCAATTGGAACATGCCTGGCAGAAGTTGGAGAGCTTTTAATATTCTGCACGTGCCAACTACAGTGGCAACTGAAATAAAAACAGTGGGAGTCCATGCTTTTTCTCCTTTCAGAACTTCAGTCTCAGGCTGCAAAGCTGAAGCTGCCTTCCATTCGTCTTACAGCTTAATGGATCTTAGCAACAACAGGCTTTGCACCTGGGAGCCAATGTGGCCTAGTGGTTAGAGTGCCGGACTGGGAGATCGGGGTTCTAGTCTGCTCCTGCTGGGTGACTTCGGGCCAGAGACAGACTCTCAGCCTAGCCTACCTCACAGGGCTATTGTGAGGGGAAAATGACAAGGAGGAGAACCTTATAAGGTGCCTCAGGTTCCTTGCAAGAGGAAGAAATGCAAGCTACGAATGGCATATAATAAAAATACACGAAAGATAATAAGGAACACGTGCTTAGTGTTAAGAGCCTTAGTGAATCTGTGGTATAGTGACCTCTGAATTGGGAACTTCTTGTAACTCAGTCCCTTACAGCACAATCCCATGCATGCCTGCTCAGAAAGATTTCCCATTTAGTTCAATGGAATTTCTAGGTAAATGTGGCTCGGACTGCAGCTACACCTTCTCACATGTGATAACTGCATCTTTCACTTATTTAGAAATAGCAAACTGAAAAAGAAGAGATCTCAAAGATTCAAGTTGCTATATGGGTTGAAAAATATGGGCAACATCCAGCTAATACAGAGGTGAGAAACTTTTTTTTTTGTTCTTTTAGCATCTGTATCGGCAAGATAACATTGGGAATTGGAGAACTGCTATGAACTTTACTGCTTCTAACTAACGCTAATTGTAACCTAGACATTCAAGATGAAAGCCCCAACAAACAAACAGAAGGCAACCATCACCTCAATATGGTACTACTGCGCAAGAACACAATAAATTCACTCTGGATTTAATAAGACTTAAAACAAAATATTTAAATCTCAAAACCTCTCTACAAAAATGTTAAATATGTAATATCAGGGAAGTGAATGGAAAGTGCAAGTCACCCCATGATCTTTTATTATCATGTGATTTTTTTTTGCTCCTCAGTGAATTGTGTGCTGTGATCAGGGTTAGGTAACTTTTGGGGACCTGAGAACGAACACATTTGGTTATTTGAGAAACTGTTCCAATCACCATCAGAAAATGGCTGGGAGGTGTGGGAAGTCACAAAAGGCAAATAACCTACATGGAAGACTGAATACCAGGCAGAGGCAATGTTTGAGCCTCAACACACTAAAAAATTCCTTTGAACCCACAATTTTTAGCCCCAACTGAACGCAATTTCACAGAATGTCATGGCAATTTCACAGAACGTCATGGCTTTTTCTCGCCAAGCAACACATTTTCCACTATCTTTCTTCTGACTTTCACTCTAGATCATCTCCCAAAAGGTGGCAGGTTACATTGCTGTGCATCAAGAAAAAATAGTTGGTGGTGTATTGCTGCTTGATGTTATAGCGCATTGTCAACGAGAAAACATATAGCTTTGTTCTCAGGTAGCACTGGGGTGCAAAATGTTAAGAAACTTACCTGGCGGGTGATTCATATAAATTGCTCTACAAAATTACAACAAGGAATGCAGGTCTAAAAGCTGACTTTCGCATCACTGAGCACGCATAAAAAGCCAAGTACACCTACACACACAGGCCTGCATTTGTTCTTGTGTGCACTCAGACAACAATAGAATGGAGCAGAGCGGGGAGGCACTGTTCTTTCCTCCCAGACTAACAAAAGTAGTATGTGACAGAAGGAGGGTACTCCTTTCCCCTATCTTTTCCATGAGTGATTGCTTTCCAGTCTGTTCGGGCAAGGAATGCGTGCGTGCGTGCATGCGAGGGAGATTCACTAGTTGTTACAGAGTACCTGAAACAGAGCTGTATGAATTGTGCAAATGCGAAATTTAATACGTGGTGAAGAATTTTGAGACTCTTAGCTCTCATTTAAAATAACAAAGAGCAAGATTCTAGTCCTTCGTGTTAATTTTTGAAAGGCTGAAAATATGCAGGGCACCTAGTGAAATATGAGATGGTGCGGGAGAAATGGAATAGAATGCTAGAAACCAGGAGGTAGAATTTCATTGTTCTATTTAGACTCTGCCATCCTTTAAGAATGATGAAAGGCAGTGCGGAGTAGCGGTGTAAAGCACAGGACTGGGACCCAGTCGATCTGGGTTCTAGTCCCTGCTTGGTTGTGGAGCCAACCGGATGACTTTGGGCCAGTCATAGACTCTCAGCCCAACCTACCTCACAGGGTTATTGTGGGGAAAGACTAAGAACAGGAGAAGAATGATGCAAGCTGCTCTGAGTTTGTTATAAGAACAAAGCAGGACATAAATCTAATAAATAAATAAGAGTAGACTTATACAACTTTCCATAATTTTAGAGATGACAATTTTTTCTTGGGCCAGAACCTGGGTTGCTGTTTTGGAAAAATTATGCCAATCTAAGGTAGAGAGGATACATTTCAGCCTAATGGGAGAAGATGCCTCTTTTCCACCTTACATACATTCTGAACATAATAGGGTAAGTTGAGATGTACACAATTCTCTATGAGCAGAACCAAGTACGTGGGTGCCAGAGCATAGCACTGAAAGGAGAACTACATCCTAAAGCTTTCCACTGTAGTCACATCAGCACAGGAATTTTATGCTAAGAGATTAGAAGGATAAACACCCAACACCCATTATTTCATGCACTGGAGAGCTTTCTGGTCTTGTTGCATTTGAACTCACAGGTTATAACAGTCAATTTCATTTGGCTGCTTATTTGGATACATAGTCTACTTTCATTGACTTAGATATTAGAAAAATAAGGGTCGCATCCATTTTTGCCTCGTTTTAACGAATAGCACAATGGACAGCTATTATGAATTGATGCAGTTTCATCATATTCCTGCTATTGCTTCTGTGTGCAGTCCCCTCACACTGTTTTATTTGCTTTGCAAATAAAATTCATGGATTTTAATTAACTTTGTGTGCCCACACAAATGCAGACGCACACAACAACTATCTCAGCATGGCCTTGTGTCTTACAGTCTTGCGTGGGAACCTCAGCAGAGTCATGGTCCACGTGTTGGACCAGGGCCAGGCAGACCCAGGTTGGATCCCTAATCTGCCACAACATGTCCTGCTAGCCTTGGGCCAGTCACTCACTCAGTCTCTTTCAGCTTAACCTACCTAATACGGGAGTTGTGAAGATAAAACAGTCGGGGAGAGAACCATGCGCTCTGCGGAGCAAAAATGCAGCAAACACAGGAGTGCAACCCACAGGCTGCCGGCATCCCTTGACTGGCCCCAGGGTGCTTGCCCCTGCTCTTCCTACACAGTTCCCTAACCCTCAGGTACCCAATGCCTGCAGACACTTCTCTTTGTATCCATCAGACGCGCTCTCTCTCTCTCTCTCTGGATAGTTACTTATTAAGATTTTTTAAAATCATCTCTCATTTAACTGGCAAGCTACAGAGTGAAATGTCACCTTCCAGCACCATGTCTATTAGGGTTCAAAAGAGCTGACTGTGTTTTAGAGCTCAGAACCCACCGCTACCTTTCCCTGGATGCATGGGTACGATCCTTCTCTTTTATTCTCATCATCTGCCTTCTGGGACATGAGTATTTGGGATCACCTGTGTCTGTCCTGGTAGCTCTTTGATGAATGGGCAAGCCCAACATGCCAACCCCTGACAATCTCCAGAAATTCCAAATGTGTCTCCACCGACGCAAACATTTAGGAGCTCCAACAGTTCTCCCTGTCCCTGATCCACCGAGTTTTTGCCAGCATCCCAACACTTCTGAAAGAACTACCTCATTTGCATCTTCTTGCAATGTTAGTTCTCCTTTAAGAACACATAACCATCCATAGAACACAGTCAGATAAATAAAAAGACATCTCACTCTATTCAATCTATAATTCAGTCCAGTCAGATCATTTGGGTACCACTTTTCTTGGTACGGATGCCATCAGTACGAAGTCCTAGACCAGTCTTTTCCAAACTGGGCCCTTCCAGACGTGTTAGATTACAAATTTGTGGTGACTGAGGATAATGGACATTGCAACCCAAAACATCTAGGGAATGACAGATTGAGGAAGGCTGCCCTGGCTACAGAAATGAGAAGCATGGCACATACCTTCTTGTTTTAGTGCCACTGCTGCATGCCCTATAGCTTCCCAGGGTGACGGGATGTCCAGGAACACGGCATCCGCAACATCGGTGACGCCAAACCCATTTTTGCAGACATCCTGGTTCTTCACTGTCACCAAGTGGCCAACCTTGTGCTCCTGGAACTCCTGTACGGCTTTCTCAGCTCTTTGCTGATGGAACTCCACCGTGTACAGGTGTCCTGTCGGAGCAATTGTCCTGATGATAGCATGAGAGAGGGAACCACTCCCAGTACCTAGGAAGAAGGAAAAATAAAACCACTCAGTCACTGAGAACCTGATACTTAAAAACAATTGTTCTGAGTCACAGTTCAAGCCTGTGGCATGGGTGAGTTCATTCACCAATAGCATCCCTCCTTTACAGGTGTTGCCAATTTTGGAGTAAAAGCTCATAAAACCTGAACGCAATGGTAAAGGGGGGGGGACATTCACAAGATGGTCTTCTAGTGCAGGATTCCAGACATGCTATTCAGTTTTCCCTCCCTTGCTCTCTGTCCCTGCGTCAGAATTATCACCCCCAATTTCCTGGCCCGTGAGTATGCTCACTCCTTGCTCAGCTATTTTCAGCTTTTCATGTTGCTGTTCCTAAAGGTCTGTTTTCTTCTGCAAACCTTGCTATTGCACGAGCCTTCTGTGTGTGCACAGTGCTACTTTGATTCTGTAAAACACTCTGCAGAGGCCAGAGTTTCATGATCATGGACATTTTTTATCCCGCTCTTCCTGCAATGAGAATGACACACACTGTTCCTTACAAATTGATTGCCTGTATATCCCACCTTTCCTCCAAGGAGCCCAAAGTGAAGAATTGGAATGGATCTAATTCTTGCACTCCATGCAAGGCCTATTTTATACCTAGGGCTAAAGAGCAGCAAACAAAAAAATAATGCTGCATCATCTATTGTATAACTTACTGGGTAAAATGTTCCTCAACATAGTTCTGTATTGTATTATATTTATATTCCTCATTTTCTCTCTCTTGAAAGGAATCCAGTGTAGCTTGCTTAATTCTCCTCCTTTTCATTTTATTCCCACAACAACCCTGTGGGCTGAGTGAGTGACTGGCCCTAAGTCACCCAAGTGAATTTCATGGCCAGGTGTGGACTTGAACCTAGGTCCACCAGCCTCAGTTCAACACTCAAACTGTGTGGTTATCCACACTGTCTCTCACACTTCCACTGAACCTCACAACAAGCTTATCATGCAGGCTAGAGTGGAAGCAGGTGATTGCTCCAAGGTCACCCAGCAAGCTTCAGAGCTCAGCAGGGACCCAAATCTGGTCTCCCTGGTCTTAATTAAGCACTAGCACACTCCTGTCATGAGTAGGGTTCTGACAGATTTCTTATCAGCAATGGCAGAAGATATTTGCCACTTAATTTGCAAATGGGGAAAAGAACTGAGTCAAGAGGTTGTGAGGACCGTCTGCCTTGTAGGAGGTCCCTCCTGTTTCAGAGCAGCTAACAAGACTTTTGGTTGCAGTGCTTCAAGTGATATGAAGCGCCAGCCAAACAGGGATGAAAGGAAAGACTGCCGTCAGATCTTGAACTAGCCAGATGATGATGACCTGTTGGGAATAGACAGTTGCTGTTGTGCCACTATGACAAGTAACTCCAGTTTGAGGTGTTGAAACAAGAAGCTATCTGAAAGTCTTGAGATGCAGAAGAGACGGTAGACCACCCACTGGTTGGTTGTTCACAGAACGGCCAAGCATATTCAAAACCGGAATGGCATCTGGCAGGTATCTTAACCCATTCTTGTTCTTGTCTCTTATCTGAAATATTTCAGTTTCCAGGTCCTTCGACACAAATAATTCACCAATAGATGAGGGGTGTTAGGTAAAGACCAAGAAGCCCAAATGGCTTCCATGAGTCAGGAGGGATCTCCCAGCCTTCCTCAACATGATGACCTCTAGACAGTTGGGACTACAACTCCCACAATCCATGATCACTGGCCTTGCTGCCTGGTGCTAATGGGAGTGGTAGTCCAAAAGAAGTCTTTGCACCTTACTTCTTATTCCATCCAGTCTCTGCCATCTGACTTCCCTCCATTCTCCTCATTATCCTTCATATTACATTGTATTTATATACCACCTTTTCTCCCTAGTGCAGAACCCAAGTTGTCTTACACAGCTCCATTTTATCCTCTCAAGAACAACCCAGTGAGGAAGGTTAGACTTGGGAGGAAGTGTCCAGCCCAAAATCACCCAGTGAGATCCATGGCTGAGTGGGGACAAGAACCTGGATCTCCTGAATAGGAGTCCTGTCCAGCATTCAAACAAGCGCACCACTCTAGTTCTCCTTAGTAAACCACATACCACCCCTTTCCTCCTCCTGATAATCAAAATTAGAAGTAAATATGCTGCTGGTGCACTTCATTTTTGCCTTGGAGATGAAGGATCCTATATCTGCCCCGCCCCCTCAACAGACAAAGCACCTTCCCTACTTCCAAAGTCCAATTTCCCTTTGCAGCAGCACAAAGCACTCCGTTGCCCCAGCGTTGTGTGTGTGTGTGTAGCAACCAAAAGGTTTCTGTTATTTCACCAGCTCACAACACATGGACTACAATCGATTGCCTGGCATGACGACAGCACTGATGGCTCATGAGCCCAGCCCACTGAGCTGAATCCCCTCTTGCCAGAAGCCAGAATTGTGTGACTGGAGGCTTTTAGCTTCCCACGAAGTGGAATATTTTCCCTCCCAGAGGGTTAACACTACCCTCACTCTGGGTCCCTTTCGATTCATCTCCAGAAGCAAACAGAAAAGATGTCAACACAGCAGGGGTGGCAAGAAGCAAAGGCAGCAGCTTGGCACACATATTGAGTTTCTCCCACTCTCTGTTTCTTCTACATTTTTAATCACCTGCCTTTTAAAATCAGCTCTGAATCCACCAGGGAAGGCCCTATTCGCCTTTCCTTTCTAGGACCATCCCCAATTAATACTGGCTCTGGTACATTTCCTGGCTCTTAGGATTAATCACAAACCCTGTTTATGCCAAGCCCGGAATCTGATTATGCTTTCTTTTTGTTTTTTTCATTTTTAATAGCAGGCACTTATGGTTCTTACCAACAAGACATCCCCCTATGGCAGGGGTCTCAAACTCGCGGCCCACGGGCCAATTGCTGGGACAGGTGGGGCACGGGGCAGGGGCCCTGCGGCCTTCAAAGTGCCGGTGGCACCCGGGCCGGCCGCGGGATGAGCGGCCCACCACCACAGCGGTGGTGGAATACTTGATGTGGCCCAGCCTCACCCAGACTCTACTTCCAGAGGCCCCCAGGTAAGTTGAGTTTGAGACCCCTGCCCTATGGTAACAGCAGGCTGTTTGCTAAACTATCACCAAAAAGCTGCCTGGAAAATATATTGCGAAAAAGAAGAAGCAGGCTTTAGCTAAGAACATAGAGGCTCCAACTAGTTCTGCAAAGAACCGCAAAGCACTGTGTATCTCATAAGCTAGGTGTGATGGCAGTATTTGGCATTTGATAGTATGCACGACTATGGAGGTTCCAGTAGCTATAATAGCAAATAGTCGTTGATACATTCACCCTCTTCAAATGTGTATAAAGCTAGACAAATAATATTATGTAAAATCTAATACAGCAATCTGCATGTATCTGATGGATGCCATCAGAATCATGGAAGGGATCTTAGAGGTCATCTATTCTAACACCTACTCAGTTGCAGGATATAACAATGGTCAGGGAACATCCCTGTTCTGCTACACCTGTCATCTGTAAAGGTTTTCAAAACAAGAAACAAATGGGTATCTTCAAGGAATATTTACACTGGCTATTAGGGATATTCCAAGTCCTGTTTCCTCACACTGTAGGAGGAAGAGGCCAGGGTGCAGAGAACTGGAACAGACCTATAAGAAAGAGGAGCCACCTGTGAGAGTCTGAGCAACTCCTCTGAAAGGGTGACTATGCATGAGTGAGCTATGGGAACAGGGGTGTCCATGAAGGATGAGCAATTGTAAATGGCAGCAGTCACAGAGAAGTCTTTGTAGGGGAGCCCATCTATAGATTTTTGTGGGTTTCACAAAGGACAGATAACAATCCTTAGAAATACAGGAAGTTAGCCTTAAACTGAGTCAGAACAAGGGTCGAGCTAATCCAGTGTTGTGAGCACTGACTGGCAGCGACTCTTTTGGATTTCAGCAGGAATTTTTTGAGCCCTGCCTGAAGATGCCAGGATTTGAACCTGGTTGCTTTTATTCTACTCTACTCTACACTACACTTATTTACATATTCTCTCTCGCTCTAACTCTCTCTTTCTCACACACACACACTTTTACACTATACCACAGCCCTTCCCTTAAATCAGTAACCATAAAAAGCCAACAAGATGTGCATACCCTTACCATAGTGCAATGAATTAGAACAGCCTGGAAAAGAGGTACGGCGCAGATGGTCCTACTCCATGGTTTCACCCCCTACTCTGGGTTCATCTCTTGGGGTGGAAACCTTCTCATCTATTCTTAACCCTAAATGTTTAAATCAGGGATGCAAAAAATTGGAGCGCATGGGCTGAAAGCAGGCTCAGCAACTGCCACCACCAAGAAGCGGGACCAGGAAGAAAAACACTCTAGAAACTTATCTATGGTTCCTGACACAGCAGCACTATTCCTAGAGTGTTCCAGAAAGCAGTGCTAGGAAGTTCCTGCCAGCTTCCTAGGGTGCTCTGGACATACTCCGGGAAAGAGTTTTCTATGGTAGAAACCACAGAACCTGTTCCTAGAGTGTGCCACTTCCGTTTTGTTTTGTTTTGCTTTTTGGCAATCAGGTTCATTTGGCTGAGGAGGGGGTTAAACTTCTTGATGCTGTAACATGGAACAAATATTGTGGCTGCTAGAACAAGAACTGTGGTCTTAGTCAATATCACTGTTGGTTTTAATTTCTTGTAAACTGCCCTGAGCCTATGGGAATGGGGCTGTATATAAATATCAAGATAAATAAAGATAAACAAACTGTTGCTTCCTGGGTTCCTATGAGTGAATGTGAGCACATACACATAGGTTGCTCACATAACCCCAGAGGACAGCTGATTCAGCTCTTGGGGCAGAAAAGGTTGCATACCCTGGTTTAGAGTTATGGGTGAACCCAACCAACAGGCTTTGCTATTGCAGGATTTTAAAGTATTTTGGTTACTTTAGCTTTCCTTAAACTTGCACACTGCTCTTTCAGGATTTTGTACTCATGACGACTAGAAACTTAACACAAGGACAAAAAGTCGAGCAACAAACAGGC